TCCTCAAAAATCGAAGAGACACTGCTCTCCGAATCTCGAGAGTCAGACCCCCAACATGATTGTTTTCTCAAAAATCGAAGAGGCATCGTTCTCCGAATCTCGAGAGCCAGATACCACAGACCACTTTTTCAAAGTGCTCTGACAGAGTTAAAACATGTGAAACTGGCAGCTCCCACTACCGTGCTATGACCAAGCAGGGTAAAGGAATAGCATTACTACTTGTTGTTAGGGAGACTCCTATATATGTCGACCTCCATCCCCAACGGACAGGCAGACCTGCAAAAATGCTCAACCCTTCATCATATCTGAGAGGGCACTCCCAACAAAGCCTTTCGAAATATTCAGCTTTCTTTTCCCCCCGATAATACCTCTGCAAACAAGCTATACTAGAGCAAGAATATCTCATATCATCAGGGTTAAAAGCAAGAGTATCCCATATCATGCTTTTTCCCTGTTTTTTCTTTTGACCTTGTTTTTACCTGCAAGACAAGGAGAAAGAGAGCAATCAGTCAGCACTTGGAATCAAGCTTCCAGCCAGGAACTGACTGCCTGGAACCCCTTACCTGATTACTTACCTGGCATTGCTCTCGACTACTCATCTTCAACATCTTATGTTTCCAGGGAAGATTCCGCATCTACTTGAGGAACAGATAGGGCAAGTGCGAAGGATACAAGGAAGCATGTGGAGACAAGCGTAACAGCACACGTGCCGATACATCCATTACTCTGTCAAAAGCAAAAGTATCCCATATCAGCAGGGTGGAACGTACTCTAGATTTGATGGACTTGTTTTGACCCTCAAATTCTTCAGTCGGCCTTATACTCTGGAGGAAACCAGAAAACCCTCCAGCTCAGTTCAAGAATAAGCCTGTGGAAAGTTACTTCTTCAAAAGCAAAAGTATCTCATATCATCTCTTCTCATTTTTCTTCTCTTTTATCCTTCATGCTGCTGCAAGATGGGGAGAAGGTGAACAATCAGTCGGAGCTCTGATTGCTTACCTTGTCTGTCACCTCTTTCAGCAGACCCCCTAGCTCGGCGACTTGGGGGACTCCTACTACATGGTTTGTATCGCGCTTGACCAAGCCTGAAACTACAAGTAAGCTTCAAGTGAAATTGATACATTACCTTGTGCATCTCCACCAGTTAAAGATACCACCCCTGGATGGAGGAAGAGTACTTCCAGAGAAGATGCCACATCTACCTATGAGACAGATAAGGCAAGTCAAGACGACACCACACTCCGATACTTAGAAGTTTCGTGATTACGAGATCATTCTCCCACAATATTTCCTAATGTCATTTGTACTAAAATCATTCACTCGTACTCACTAAAGGAGAGCTTGAACCTATGTACTTGTGTAAACCCTTCACAATTAATGAGAACTCTTCTATTCCGTGGACGTAGCCAATCTGGGTGAACCACGTACATCTTGTGTTTGCTTTCCTATCTCTATCCATTTATATACTTATCCACACTAATGACCGGAGCAATCTAGCGAAGATCACAAAAAGCGACCGTTTTCGTTACCTATGATCTATCTTGCAAGAGAACGGAGAATTAGATGGAGATCTCAACCATAGAATACGAGCTGGATGGAAAGAGTGCATCCGGCGTGTTGTTGTGTGACCGTCGTAGGCCACTGAAGCTCAAGGGAAAATTTTATAGGACGGCAATAAGGCCAGCGATGTTGTATGGCAGAGAATGTTGGGTGGTGAAGCATCAACACGTACACAAAATGGGTGTAGCGGAGATGAGGATGCTTCGTGGGATGTGTGGGCACACGAGAAAGGATAAGATTGGGAATGAGGATATCCGAGGTACAGTAGGAGTAGCCGAAATTGTAGGAAAGATGAGAGAAAATCGGCTCTGGTGATTTGGACATGTGCAAAGAAGGCCGACTGACGCTCCGGTTCGAAGATGTGACTACGGGACAGAGGTTCAGGGCCGAAGGGGTAGAGGAAGACCTAGGAAAACTTTGGAAGAGACTCTAAGAAAAGACTTAGAGTACTTGGATCTAACGGAGGACATGACACAAAACCGAGCGCAATGGCGTTCTAGGATTCATATAGCCGACCCCACTTAGTGGGAAAAGGCTTTGTTGTTGTTGTTGTATTCCAAGCATAAAGTATGAATAATTTTAGGTAGATCAATTTTTCAGATCACATATACAATGTGTCATAATAGAAAATAAGCACGTTAATCAATACGTAACTAATAATTCAATCATCATCAACAATGTCATATGATTTACAAAATACGATGGTCTCCCTAACATTACCCATAAAATATAGGGAATTTTAACGAAAAGCTCCCGGTACTGTTCACTTTAACGAAAAACCACATTTTTACACTAAAAAGTCAATCCTGGTACTATTCACTTTACCCTTTATTTTGTCCTTATCATTAAAACTTAAAGTTTTCAATCCCTTTTCATTAGTTTTCCTTAAAAAATATATACCCTTTTATAATTTAACAATGATGCCTTAATTTATTCAAGTCTTTTCTACCAACCATAATGACACTATCACATTAGATTCTACAATACATAGAATATTAATCTGAGTAACCTACAACGAGCAAGTCTTATCAACTTTTGCCTAACTCTAGCCTGGCCATCTACCTTGGTTCGGACTAATCAAACTGCAACGTAGTTAGAGCATCTCCCGTGGTGATTTATATTTAGTTCCTGTACAGTTCTCAGATATGAGGTTCAAGGCCTTTTAATGAGTCTGAAAACAAGACTCTATAGTATAGGGCCTCGCTCTAGTATGTATACAAATCTTCACAATTGAGGACTCCATATAGAGACTGAAGTTTTGGTACCCTTCTATTGGAAGATCAACGGTTTCAATTATATAAACCTCAAGTTTAGGATTTATACTATAAAGACTTTCTCATTGAAGACAATATATCATTAGGGACATCGAAGATTCCCTTTAAGTCCTTAAATGAGTTCTCAAAAATGACGGTGGGAGTTCTCATTGATGCTCTTACAACACTTTTGCTTCATATTCCTGTCAACGTCATTACTTTTTATTTTATAAATTGTATTTTTACTAACAATGTATAAAACATATAAGCTAATTAAGTAACCTACAAACTGCCACATAACACTTGATGCCAAACTAGCATCAGAGCAATCATAAAACCAATTTTGAAAATCTAAGCTCTAATACCAAACTGCCATCAAAGCAATCATGAAATCAAATCCGAAAACCTTGCTCTATTACTAAACTGATATGCAACCCGACTCGAATATCCACGCAAGATACCAAAATCAAGGTATGTTAGCTGACACCTAAAGAGTAATAAAGCCATAAGATGAAGGTGATACGTAAAAAGTATGAATAAATTAAAATAAGAGTGCAAAGTGTACGGAATGAACCTTTTTTTACAGAGTGTGTAGTGTCAAGACATAAATAAGAGTGCAACAGAATTAAATAATGTGTGCATGGTTAAATAATGTGTGCATAGTAGTCATGGGCAGTGGCGAAGCCACGTGGGAGCGAGGAGTGGCGGCCGCCACTCCCCTCGCCGGGAAACACCACTGAACCCCAGGTCTTCGCCACTCCCCTCGCGCGCCTCGCCGGAAAATAATGGTTCACGAACTTCACGGCGCCCTCTGTTTTTCTGGGTTTTCTGTTCACGAACTTCACAGCTGTCCATTTTCTACTTCCTCGCACAGAGACCAGTCACCAACCTCGTCGTCCTTCTGGGTGGTGGCCCTGGTGGGAGAGGATAATGGCTTGGGATAATGGGATGAAGGCTAGTAGTATTTCAGTGAGGGAGAAGACCTGTTTGGATAGCATGATAGCATATGTTTGGAAAACAGGATAATGGCTGGTCGATATGTTTGGTTCTTAACATAGCGAAAGTGTAACAAAGAATTAAAGGGACAGCTGTGCTGACTTTATTGGCCCATATCATTTGGTCAGTAAATTGAGGGATAAAGATTGTCTGCCCTCAACTTCCGGTACCCTCCTCGTGCCATTCTATTTGTGTGGTCACGGTTAAATCACGTCAATATTTTATATTACAATTCATTTTTGTCTTATTATATCTATAAAAAAAATATAAAATGTTAACGTGGCTTAACCGTGACCACACAAAATAGGAGGGCACGGGAAGGGCACCGGAAGTGGAGGGCAGACAATCCTTGTCCTAAATTGAGTACTTCCCAGTGACTACTCAAGTATTATATTTTCCCCACTATTTTTTTTTCTCTTCTGACCCATCTTTTTTTGTGGTTTGTTAACCCATTTCTCTCTTTTATTTATTTATTATTCTTGTATGTATTTTTTTCCCCTCTTTTTAAGACTCCTAGCTTATTTATTATAAACTTTCACATTATTATAAATATTGTATTAATTTTTTAAAAATAATGTAAATATTGTTCAATGCTTATTTTACGATAAAAGAAATTCATTTAAATCCATCTAGACTTCTGCCTAAATCTTGCATAGGCGCCTAGCTGCTAGGCTCCAATCCGCTGCCTAACTAGCGCCTAACGTCTTTAAGAATCTAATCCTAACCAATTTAAGCTTGTTACATGGCTTTGATATTACCGCTTACAACCGCATTGGTAAAGAGACTATTTTCTGTTATGAATATTGATTTAAAACTTTGCACTCTTCAATGTGAAAGCAACCGCTTCGATTGAACATTACACTCTTTTGAATTTCGCCCCTCCCCTCGGCAAATCCTGGCTTCGCCACTGGTCATGGGAGCAAAACTTGGCCCGGGGCAATATTTTAGCCCAGTAAAAATAATATTTAAAAAAATAACGCGGGGTTAAATTTTTTCATCTCCAATCATGCAGAGCTATATTTTAATTCCCTCTTAATTTTATTACTTTTTGTTATATTAAGAGAAACTATGATACAACTCATACATTTCCTACTATGTTGTACTGTTCAAGTTATATTTAATAAGTAAAATCTATCAAGTTTTGAAGACATGATAGCAGACTCATTGAACAAAGCAATCCCTGACACAAGCTTTTCTAAAACGCGACATATGATCAAGCTTTCAGTTCAAACCCTAAACATTTCTACCTTCAAATCACATTCAATTTGTATACTGTATTGTGGAGATCCTAGAAGATAGAGATCTGTCGCGTTTGTAAACTTTGTGTACGACTTTTCTTCCAATTTTATGTATCATCTTGAACATCTATCATAGGTAGCTAGAGTGGCCTCGGGTGTTACGGGGCCACGGGCGGCGGAGCTTGCCAAACTAGGGTGCTGCTAATGCTAAACCACGCATGTTCACCGCAGCATGTTCACCGCAGTGGGGTAAAGAGGAAGCCCTCTATATATACCAAACATGTTCGTCTGTTTTTCGCAATGTTATTTTTGTCCTCCTCTACTCCAAGGTCTTATACAGTGCTTACTAAAGTTTAGTTTTATTTACACAGCACAGGCAACAGCTGTTTGCTTGTCCAACTTCAGCCTCATTTCCTGCTGTGAAGGCCATAATTTATCGCTTCCGCTTAGGTTCATGGAGCAGAGCGTCCAGGACTCCCATGGCTCATGTTCCAAAACTGAACCTCATACTCGAGTACACGCTGGAACTCTACTTCAGCCTTGGTGACCATATCTTCTGAAACCTTCACTAAAGGCCCACCGTCTGAGGCGGACTTCTCCAACTCTCGGTCAGCAATGTTTCGGAGAGAGGAGCAGTACTGGCCGAAGCCATCATTGCCCCACCTTTGGCAAGCCTCTTGCAGTTCTGGTGGGGTTTTGGACCCTTCTTCCAGGCAATGGGCAAAGCTCTCTTGGTATACAGCTTCGATGGCCCAAAAGGCTGTCATGGCCACAGCGTAATCAACATCCGGGCTCATTAGATCCTCCAGAAATCTGCAACCAACACCACTCCAATTACTACTACATTGGAACAATAGTAATGCCCGATTTACTGAAAGTGAAAGAACTCCCATATTTTTAACCTAAACAATTTTCATTTGGTTATATATCTGGGCCACTTGAATAGCGGAAATCTACTGTCCCACTAGTAGCATGCAACAACGTGACTAGGTGTCTGTCGCACTAGGTCACTAGCACTATCGATGATGAGAAAGATAGGCATGTAACTGTACAGAACCAGTGACACCATTCTGAACTTCATCACACCATACCGAACCAAATTTTCTACAATCTATACTAATTTTCAAGAAGAACCCTTGTATGAAATGTGAATATCCTTCAATGACCATTTACCGTGAAAATTACTTGCATGAAATTGGTGAGGGAGCACCACAGTGTCCCAAACAATCAACCGACGCCATGTAAAGTAAAAATACATGGCGTCATTGGTAGGTTTGAGACACTGACTCGTTGTCATCCTCTTTCATGTAAGTCTCTCTTACTTACGACACTTACTAACATTAGCCTAAATGTGAAAACATAAAAAAGAATGAGTGATTGCTAACTGCTAAGCAAGAAACTTGGAGTTAAACTGAAGATGGAACCTGCAGTAATCCCGGGTTGTTTTTTCAGGAACAACACCAGATAGCTCAACACCCCACTTTGAAGCCTCTTGCTTGAACCATTCAATCTCATCGTTCAGAGCAGCCACCCCACTCAGTACCAATTCGATATCGCCGCTTTCGTGATCGGAATTCTTCCAAGCTTTTATCAGCACACTCGCCACAAATGGTACAAATGCTCTCACAAATATGTAGTCCTGGCCCTGCACCAACCTTTTCAAAATTTGACTACCAAAGCAAAAATCCGTTAATTGTAAGTGCTGCTCACATTTACTAGACCACGAAATTTGGACTTACGCACACAACGGGATGAAACTCGTGAATAAATTAGTATAAAACTAGTCATTCACAAAAGTAAAATCCCTCGCTAGAAAGTTAAAAGTAACACTAAACCGTAATACTCTCTGACCTGAGTTAAGCAGTTAAGATTAATTTTAAGTAAATATCACATTTATAAAAGAAAAATAATCATTGCTGCCCGGAGAATTGGAGAATCAAACGGCGCCGTAGCGAACCAAATTAACCAACTTTTAATTGCGGCTTACTTACCAGCCAGCGTTTGAAGGCGGAAAGATCGACGGTGCCGTCGCGAATGCTGAGGATGAAGGGGTGTCGGGTGGCTCCAGCGTAGATCAGACGGTGCTTCCTCAGCCACGTGCTGGTCATCGACACTCCAGCTTTCGGCTTCCCATCCATTTCCGCGGCTTCGATCTCTTCCTTTCCTTGTGGAGTCTCTGTTTCGCATTTGACCGCGCGACTGACAGATCGAGAGATGGAGATGGAGGGAGGGGCTTTTGTGTAATTAGAGTGGGCAGTCCCAATGTTCAACCATTATGTGCCGAACACGTGGGAGCCATGCTGCAAAACAGCCGCTACGCGTGTCGGATCAGTCGGCAGTAGCTACCGCTTCTGATCGTTGGGCCTGCTACTGTTTCAGATATTAATGGGCCGGTCCAAGCAGCCCCATTTTGTGTGTTTCGTTTTGGTCCCACCTTTATGTAGACTGGTGATGTTATTTCCTTTTTTAGTAAATTTGTACATTGGTGACGTTATCCTTAAGATTTGCATAATACATCACTTTGATCATTGAGATTGAAAATCAATAGAAATGGTCACTGAGATTGTCCACCATCCATTATTTTGGTCATTCGTTTAAAAACTCCAAGCTCTTGGCTGGAAGTTCAGGCAATTTTCAAAATTTCGTAACTCAATCGTTTCTTAACCAAATTCGACCCATAATATATCAAAATGAAGATACAAAAGTGTAGAACATGGTTATACCTATTTGGAAGCCCAATGGTTGCCAGAGATGGCCAGAAAATAGTCTGAAAGGTGACTGGCCCGCGAGAATACTAGAAAACTCGCGCTGAAACTCGGTAAACTTTAAACGTTCATAACTTCTTCAATACTCAATGAAATCAAGTGATTCAAAAATGAAAATCATAATTATCAACGAGACGAATAGAATGGCACCTTTCTTGATAGTTAATTCATCATGTTTTGGCAGAAAAACGGCTCGAAAGTGGCTAACTCGAGACCAAGATAACCAGTTTCGAGCCGTTTTCAGGCCAAACCACGGAAATTTAGCCATCAAGAAAGGTACCACTCTCTTTGTCTTATAGAGGAGTATTATTTTTGTTTTTAAATCACTCAATTTCGTTGAGTATTGAAGAAGTTATGAATATTTAAAGTTTACTCAATTTCCAGCGAGTTTTCCAGTTTTCCCGCGGATCAGTCATCTTTCAGGCTATTTTACGGCCATCTCCGGCAACCATTGGGCTTCCAAATAAGTATAATCTTGTTCTACACTTTTCTATCTTCATTTTGATATATTATGAGTCGAATTTGGTTAAGAAACGATTGCGTTACAAAGCTTTGAAACTTGCCCAAACTTTCGACTAAGAGCTCGGAGTTTTTAACCGAATGACCAAAATAATGGATGGTGGACAATCTCAGGGACCATTTCTATTATTTTCAATATCAAGGACCAAAATGATGTGTTATGCAAATCTCATGGACCATTTTGGCTAAAACGCCTACATTGGTTTCTTCCCTAAATGCTTATTGTTTTTGTATTGTGGTGAAGTACTAGTACTTAGGAATCAACACCATCAATGGTCTAAATTCATAAGGAATAAACACGATCAATGGTCTGAATTCATAGTCCAACGTAAGTAGAAAAACAATTTTCAATGTGACGTGTAGCGGTAAGTTGGTAATTTTTCTATGAGTATGAGATCATTAAGAAGGAAATAGAGTACATCAAATGTTAATTATTATTGAAACTCTAAAAATATCGTCATGCACTCCTCCATACAAGTCGAATCTTCCATATTGAGTTTTAAGTTCTTAGTATTTCTTTTCAAATAAAAAAAACTCCTCTCTTTCTCTACTAAAATAACTTTCTCCAAGTTGATAATAACAAGGTATTAATCCTAGATCCTGCTAAAAAATGAAATAAAATGCGTGATTAGTTTTTCATAATGACAACGACAAGTCTCTTAACACATCTATAAAAGCATTTTACGTTTAACTGTTTTGGCTCATGTCATGGAGAGATTCTTTTGTCCGACAATCATATTAGGGCCAAAAGAGGAGGATGGGGTCACACAATGGGGTTTGATGGGGCTGAAATCAAGAGGGGGTTGGCCAAGTGTATTTTTTTCTGTCTATTGCCATATTTTTGAAGTGATTTTGGATCCTAGACTTGAGAATATCTCTCTGTCTTTGGATAGTAATATAACCTTTAATTAAGATTTTCCCTTCTAGGTAAGATGTAATTATGTACCTTGTTATGAAAACAAAACTTAGAAAACATATGTTCTGAATTTTATTTTATTTTTACAAGGGTTATAGCTCTAACACGAGATGTTTAGAAGTCTTAGCATTGACTGCATGAAACTTCCAAACAGACAGAGAGAGAATTGGAGTTTCTTTCCATCTAACAACAAGACACTTCCCATTAGTCCCCAGTATGCAACTCCTCCCACAAGCAAACTATTTGGCCATAAGGTATGTCTGGTACAAGGATTACAAGCTAAGATCAACTTCTACCATCCCGCATTTTGTAAACAAACTTCTCCAACCCTCGATTTCATACGCCGGATCACCCTCTCTTCGCCTTCACTCGCAACAATGTTCTTGATCTCGTGACTCATATATGTTTCCTCCAACTCCATTTGTTGCGTGCTACCTTTGTCCATACATGCATCAAGGCACTCAAAATATGCATTGTGGTAGAAAAGTGCTCAGTAGAAACGGTTTATGAAGATCACAGAATTGTGATTTGCCTTTATTTCAATGGCCACCATGAGGCGTGGATTGAGGTTTCTGAGGACTTTCATCAGAGATTCTGAGCAATTAGGTTGGCTCTTTGTACTAGATAACAGTAGAGGGCAGTAAACTGCAACTGCTTCACCAGTCTCTAACTCAAAGATGTCTTCTTTGACATCTTTGGTATCTTTTACCATGGTTATCTTGAAGGTAAAAGGTAACTTCAATACCTCAGCAAATTAGGCCAGCCTTCTGCCGGTGTCCTCAATTTTCTTCTTTGATGTCACTTCAACAGCGATAACGTTTAGCATCTCAATCGGGCATTCGTATCTTGTCGCAAGCATTTGCATCAACACGATACAATGCCCTACGTTCCTGATTGCAAGGTCAATGAAATGAATCTTTTTGGATGATGCTACACTCTCCATAATCGCTTAGATAACCACAAACTCGATAACTTGATAGAAAGGAACATCTAAAAAGCATGACATTAGAGCAGGACTCAAATCCGACATTGCCTCCTCGATATGCATTGCGAGAGCATCTCTACTTTCCGAGCCCTGAGATATGCTTCTGCCAGTTTCTTTGTCTGTCTTCTCCTGAAGAGCTTTGGTAAAATGGTAAACAATTATCTGAACAAATTTCCGTTATTGGAAGACAAGAAATCACATAGGTTTTGCAACTTTTTCGCGCAACCATATTGTTTCTTTGCAACCTTCTCAGCATAAGCTAAAAGAAGGTGTGCAAGCTCAACATCTTTGGTTTCCTAGTCTGAGAGGCCGAAGAGAGCGCTACCTAGAATACCATCAACCATGCAGTCATCTACTTGCCTTCGAGAAGAGAACTGTATAAATCGTGCTCTTGTAACTCTCATTACTTTAATAGTTGTCAATCCAGAGGCACAACTCATGGTTTCAAGGAGAGATTTTTCAGTGTGATCAGCACACAAGGTGGTACACCACATGTCACTGTACAAATTGTGGAATATGTGTGTTTAAAAATTAATAACTTAAAAAATAAAATTTTCCATCACTTACATAAAAATACATGATGTACCACCCGTGTTCCTGTTGTTAGAATATAAGTTGTATCTTCTCATTTGTGTTATGTAAAGGGTACCACATGTATTGATATTAGTGGAAGAAGTTATGAGAGTATATGAGTATAAATAGTAGGAGTGTCTTGTAAAAGTTAAGTAAACAGAAATAGAAATTTAGTTGAAAAGTATTCTTCTCTCTCTAAAACAGATTTGGATCCTTGCCGGATCCCCTCCCTGGGGATCCTAGGGATCAACACACATGGACCGTTGATCAAAAATCGTGCAACCCCAATTAAATGCTTTTTATATTTTTAAAAATAAGCAGTCTCGTTTTGCATGAAAAATATAAAAAAGGAAAAATTTGTGATCGCACGATTTTTGATCAACGGTACATGTGTGTTGATCCCTAGATCCCCAGAGAGGGGATCCAGCGAGGATCCAAATCCCTCTAAAACCTATTCGACTTATCTCTCTCTGCCTTCATAGCTAAGTTCCTTCATTCTTTACAATGTTGACACCCGTCGCAATAAAAAATTCTCGGTTTCAAGAGATGAATAAAGTTGATTTTTTTTACCTGTTTTTTGGAGTGCAAAAAGTGTACGAGTGCTATTGCTGTTTTCTATCTATTTATAAGCTAACCATTTAAGCTATGACTTTTCACATGGTTTTGACATAACTTGTAAGATATGCTATAACTTTACCTTCCGTGGAATTTCAAGGACAATCTATCAACAGCTGTATGAAAACCAAAATTGGAAATTGTTAAGTAGGTCAAATTTGGACATATGTTTAGAAAACTAATTAGGACAGTGCAAAAGATTATGGTTTCCCTCAAATGATTCTTGTTGATCCAAAAAAACCTATTAACAGTTTAATACATCCAAACGCTATGTACGAAGTTTGTGCATGTAATGCTAGGAGTATGTAAGCGCTCGACGACAGGACCCAAGCAAGAAGCAAATTATTCTTTATGCTGATATAGTTTTCTCCATAACAAGGATCTGATATTTCTATAAGTAAATTTGATTTGGACATGAGCCAGCATGTTATGCACAAAAGGATAAAGGAATAACTGAATAAGGATTAGGGACAAGACAAACAAGGAAGATCTACGGTGCTTCCTTTCCTTGGACATGGAATGGAACCTGCAGTAATCCTAGGTTGTTTTTTCAGGAACAACACTAGATAGCCCAACATCCCACTTGGAAGCCTCTTCCTTGAACAATTTTCAACATGATGTGTAACATTGCTATAACATGTAAGTTGATAATTTTTCTATGAGTATGAGATCGTTAAGGGTGTGAAAAGAAAGTACATCGAATGTAAATTGTTATTGAAACTCTAAAAATATTGTCATGCACTCCTCCTTGCAAGTCAAATCTTTGGTATTGAGTTTTCAGTTATTGTATTTCTTTTCAAATAAAAAAATTCCTCTCTTTCAAACGCTATAAGTTATTGAAACG